AGGGAGTTCAAAGGTATTTACCTATATTTCCCTCAATAAAACCTGACCTGACAGACTTAAGCGACCAGACGTCACCTTAACGGAATACCTATGTTCTACTTAAGATATCCTCAAATAGAAACATTCTTTACTAACCTCAGCAGATTTATTCGCTGAAAAAAAAACGTTCAAAATTGAAAGCAATATCAAAATAATCAGTCAGTTGAGGTTTTATCAGGCAGATGTTAAGCTGAATGTGCAGGAAAAGTCAACCCATACCGCTAACTAGCATAAAGACGATGGTGATAAACTTCTCTGAAAATATTAAAAAAATCTAAAATAATTTTGGCAATACGCAATCTTTTGAGGGTCAGTTAAGTGTCGAACGCAATGAACAAGCGCACCGTCCTCCCGCTTAAATGCAAAGATGTGTACATGAATTACCCTCGGATTCCAGATTGTTTCCATCAAAATGATTTATTAGCTTAGACTTAGGTAAGAGATATTTGGTTATTGAAATGGTAACGAACCTCGAGGTAATCGACACGACACTTTAAAAAGCGTGCGTTGTCTGAGTCCTCCATAAAACTTCTAGCATCTAGTGCGGCTAGGAGCTTTCCCAAAACGGGACATTCGAGGATAACAGCACTATCTTCCGACGCCTTGGGGTGTGTTTTCAGAGTTTCCTGAAGTTCTGATAAACCGGCTTCTAGCTGAACATTGAGTTCAGTAAGCAGATTCAGTTTTGCAGCTGCCTTTTGTTGAAGAAGTCTCTCTTTTTCAACTTCTGCTGCTAGTCGGCTTATTTCTTCGTTGGCGGCTTTCACCTGAAATTAGGAAAAGAGTAGTATCCAGCGCAATTTAAAACTAATTCAGATTGAATAAGTTTGCCGACTAATTTGAGTAAACAACACTATATGGAGGTTAGCTTACCCTATTGTGCCAAACTTCAGGAACTTCGGTGGTCGGAGCTGATCCCTGTAGCCGATTAGCACTTTGTACTTGCACTTGAAGAGTAAAGATAGTCACTGTCAAAAACGCCTGCATTTCGCTTGACAAAAAGTGAAACAATTAGCAACCAAAGGTTTAATACTAATGTTCAGAATATGTGAGTATTCACTTTTCTCTTCATAGACAGTTTCAGAAGAAAGAAGCGATTGAAGGCCAAGATCGTTCGTGGAAGAGTTTTGAACCATCTTCTTGGCCATTTCGCGCAATTTCTGCTTCAGATCCAATCTTTCATTCTCCAATTTTTCAATCTGTCAAAGAAAGAAAACGATGTTATTTTACTTCATGGTCCAAAGTAAACAGTCCAGTAGTAATTTGTCATGCAAGGCTATCAATTTAAAAACCATTTGCATTTTTATGGCAAATTTATAAACAGATCTAGTAATCAATTGAGATGTAA